ACCACAAGCCACTTTGTCACTCTACAGTTACAAAGGCTTTTGCTTATGACTAAACCTAGTCACAACATAAACTCAAAAGAGTTTACGGATTTTACAAGAGGATTCCTAATCAACGCTTCTAGCTAAGCAATTTAGGAGATACAATAAGTACAATCACAAAGTTACAACTCAACTAAGGACAACAAAATACTGACTTTAGGAACTGGTCCGTAGTAGTGTTCAACTTTGTTCTTCAAGCTCGTGAGAATTTATTTCTCAGTTTTGCAAAAGGCTTGAATGAGAAACTGAAACATTCAAGTGACGTTTCAACATAAACTCATTGTTGGTACACCTTAATCACATCACTTGAAATTATGTGAGCACTTTAGTTGGTCAAGGAATGAGCGGGCGCTGCAAATAGTGCAGTGCGGCAGAAACAGTTCCACAGTGCAGGCGGTCAATTCGTTTACAGCTGTGTCCAATTGACTTTGTACTGCTATGAGGGAACCACAAGGGTATCAGGTCCTTGTTTGGTTTCCTAGCTCCTGAAGCTGTAGCAGTTCACATTTAGCTGGAATCCGTTAACTGCATTGTAGTCCAAGTGAGTCAGGTTCCCTATCTGGTCCTTGACATTAAGTTTGTTAGATCATCAAAACATAAGGCAAAGGCATTTGAGAAGCTATCAACAGAGTTTTCCAATTTTAAGGATGACCATTGTTCCATTGAGCTACAGAATGATGCTTATTGTTAAAGAATTTGGCTTCCATGAATTGCTTTAATAGGGAGTTGGTAGTTCTCAATCTCCACCATTGTTTCGCTTGAAGGGCATGACAAGTATCTTCTAGGCATCTGAAGTTAGCTCCTCCCTCATTGTAGGGGTAGCATAGTTTATTTCAAGAAGTTCAATGATATTTACCATGTATGTCCTATCCTGACTAGAAGAATTTGGCAATATATTTCTCGATAAGCTCCAAAGTGCCTTTAGGAGTGTTGGTGGCTGCAAGAAGATAGATGGGGAGGGCGAGAAGGACATGCCTAATCATGATAGCTCTTCCTCCCGTGGAGAGGAATTTTGTTTGCCAACCCCTGATTTTGCTTATGATATTGTTGAAAATATCAGAGTAATGTGATATCTTCCTCCTTCCTATGATGAGAGGGCATCCCAGATACTTGATAGGTAATTGGTGATAATTCATTCCTGTGATGTTCTTGAGTATGTTGATTGTAGCTACCTTAGTGTTGTTAAACCACTGCAAAGCAACTCTTATCCTAGTTAATGAGTTGCCCAGATACTTTCTCATAAGTATCCAAGGTTTTCAATACCATCTCCCGTGCTTTTTTGCTTCCATTACAGAACATGATAGTATCATCTGCAAAAGAAAGGTGGAATCTTAGGACCATTGCTATTCGTATAGAAGCCCTTGTATCCTTCTCTTTCATAAAGATTGTTTAACATTCTGGATAGTAGTTCAGCACTGATAATAAACAATGAAGGAGATATTGGATCTCCTTGTCTCAAACCTCTTTTAGATTTAAAGAAACCATGCCTTCCCCCATTGACAATAATAGAGTACCAATTGTTGGATATGAAGTTATAAATGAGATCAATCCAGCATTCTGAGAAGCCAAATTTCCTTAGAGCCAAACATAAGAAGGTCCAAGAAACCCTGTCATGTGCTTTAGCCATATCAAGCTTAATAACAATATTCCCACTTCTAAAGGCTTCTTAATATCATTTATAATCTCTTGGGCTAGGAGAATATTTTCAGTTATAGCTCTTCCTTTGATAAAACCAGACTGATTTCTAGAGATAATTTTAGGGAGAATGCATGAGATTCTAGTATTGAAAATTTTAGAAATATTCTTATTGGACACATTGCACAGGCTTATATGTCTCAGATCTGTGTGGGTGTTCAACCTTGGGGATCATTACTAAGCAAGTGTGAGTGAAGAATTTGGGGAGGTCTGCACAACTAAAGAAAGATTCCACAGCTTTGGAGATCATGGCAAATGATTTCCCAGGCGGTTTGATAAAAACAGTCACTCAAGCCATCAGAGCCTGGTTCACTATCCTTGTCGATAGAGAACACACTATCTTTCACTTCTTGCATGGTAGGTATGGCTGTGAGCATATTGTTGTCTTTCTCAGTAATGCATCTCTCAATACAATCCAAAGCTTCAAAGTTCGTAGTTTGAGTATCCTGGGAGAATATGTTCTGGAAGCGCCTTCTTCTGCTATACTATCACTTCCCTCAATCCATTGGTTCTGCTCATCCATGATTTTAGAGATAGTTAGTCTCCTCCTTCTTTCTTTTATAATGCTATGGAAATATGTTGTATTAGCATCACCTTCTTCAAACCATTTGGTTCTGGCCTTCTGCCTCAAAATATTATCTTGGATCATTAGGTACCTTGTAAATTCAGCTCTTTTTCTTGATAATTCTCTTATGTTTTCAGGAGAGTTGTCATTTACACAATTATCTTCCAGAGTTCTAATCTCAGCTTCCAATTTCTTCGTATATGTCACCAAAAGTTTGTCTTGACCAGTTGCTCAGATCTTTACAAACTTTTTTAATCTTTTGATAAAGTGTGTAGAGGGGGGGTTTCCATTGACATCTTCTTCCCAGCATTCTTGAATTGTTTTCAGGTATTTCGGATGTTCAGTCCAAAAGTTTAAGAATTTAAAATACCTTATGAAGGAATTAGTCTCAGAGCTCATTTTAACTAGTAAGGGTACATAGTCTGAACAAGCTCTGGACAAGTGTGTAACTGAGGTGTTACTGATAGAGTCAAACCAAGCGGTGTTGTAAACAAGCCTATCAAGTCTCTTTCAGATGGTAGTCGGTGGGTCTCTGTTATCACACCATATGTACATAGAACCAGTAAAGCATGCATCCTGAATCCCACACTCATTGAGACGCTCAATGAAATCTGGGTTCTCTTCCATTCTATAGCTTCTTCCACCTCTCTTGTTTTCACCGGAAGTGATAGCATTTAAGTCTCCAATTACCCCCAATGGACCTTGCTGGCTATATCCTTAAGATCCTGCCAGAGCTCCCTTCTATGTTCTTCAGTGCACTTGGCATACACTACAGTCATGTGGATAGGAGGATTATTATTGTAAGCAGCATTGATCAATACATGTTGTTATTTGTCTTGAATGATGGTAACATCCACTTCATTAGTCCAAAGGATCATTTTGTTGGAGCAGTTATAAAGGCCTTGGTGCATACCAAATCTTCTCCTGAATCTGTCAATTTTCCTACTGTCCACCATAGGTTCCTACAAACAGATTAGAGGAATTTGAAATTGTTGTTTAATGATTTAAAGTCTCTCATTTGAAGCAATCCCGCGTATGTTCCATGACATTATATTAAAGGAAGAGGGCCAAAACTACTCTTACCGTCTGCTAAAGGGTTTATAAATACCCTCCGTCCATCTATCAGTCCATAAAAACACACGACATTAATTCTATTAACAAAATTACCCCCGCGACTAACGTCAGAACTGGTGGGCCTACATTTAATGACGTGTCATTTTTCTACTGGGCCACGTGGCAATTTCTTACTGGAACAAAAATGGATACCATTTCAACCCACTGAGCTGACCCGACCCAATGACTTCCCCATTTTTTCCGATCTTCTTCTTGATTTTCAAAAATCCAGAGATCATGTTCCTTATAGGGAGAAAAAAGAATAAATCAACATATACAATATGAATATAGGGCCAAAAGAATAATAAAGTATATGAACCACAAAAAAAAATGTTATACTGCTGGGAACAAAAAACTGAAATAAAACTCCATCTTCATCTTCACTCAAAACATAAATTTGTGATATCAAATTGCTGATTTCTTGATCGGTAAAACGCCTTCTTCTTCTTGCTAGAAGTGTTCTTAATTGTCAGCACAACATTTCCAGCTTCATTGTTCTTGAATGTGTTGTGAATTGGCGAGCTTAACTTCTTCTCCTTCTGAATGATAATTGTGTAAGAGTTCTCATCCTCTGGCACAAATTCCTCCTTATAGCTCACTTCCCATCCCACAATTGTAACATCCCAGATAAATGTACTTCCCACCTGACATAATTTTAATAGAATTTTAAGTGCCAAAAAGTTCAGAGCCTTTATCATATATATAATGAAAAGGGGAAGATCAAAATATCAATATAACCAAGATTTCGTTCTCAAAGTTACCTCTGCTGCAGGTATTTAAATGATTTCAGTTGATCCAGCTTTAAGGAGAATTTTCGAAGCTTCACAGTCTGAGACTGAAAACTCAAAGTCATCCCAGATAAATTCATAGGCAGAATTTTTGTTCCAGTCAGATCTTGAAAATCAAGAAGATCGGAAAAAATGGGGAAGCCATTGGGTCGGGTCGGCTAAGTGGGTCGAAATGGTATCCATTTTTGTTCCAGTCAGAAATTGCCACGTGGCCCAATAGAAAAATGACACGTCATTAAATGTAGACCCACCAGTTCTGCCATTAGTCGCGGGGCTAATTTTGTTAATAGAATTAACGTCGTGTATGGACTGATAGATGGACAGAGGGTATTTATATACCATTTAGCAAACGATAGGGGTAATTTTGGCCATTTTCCGTTATATTAATCATTGGACACATTAGGGGCAGGTTCCATTTACTCTTCCTTAATCATTGGACACATTAGGGGCAGGTTCCATTTACTCTTCCTTGTTCTCCTCTGCATTTTTATGTGTTTGAATAAAAACACCACCAAGGTTCTGGCAGTTTCTAGGAAATAAAACATCATCATTGAATTGTTTTCCATAACCGTGGTGTCCGGGCCACCAACACATATGCCGGATAAAACTATTGTAGATCCAGAATTTTAAATTTATGGATTCTAAACCACAAACTCTTTTTGCTTATTATCGGGAGACCATTAATATATATTGAGTAAAATTGTTAATAGAAATACAGAGTTTGAGCCAAAGCTACTATGGATTCAGCCGAATCCGTAACTGCTATTGTGGCTTTACTTTTTATCATACACTAAACAACGGAAGAACAAAGAACTTGCACCTTTGATATTGCTACAACATGCTCAATTTACATAGCCACTTGCTGGCGTAACAACACCAAAAATTTGGATAAACGTCATTCGTTAAACTGTTTTTCTATAAATACATGCTAAACACTATTCTCATACACACTTTAAGCCCATTAAAAAATGGATGGACCGAGTTATGTAATAATGAGATTATACCCCATAGCCGTATATAGATTCATACTAACAACCAGAGTGCGGGTGAACATAGTCATCTCTTAACATTTGCTCTTAAACTTCCTTTGAGCTTTAAGGTCCACCACAATCACAGATATATTGTCTTTGCTACCTTTTTGAAGAGCCATCGTCGAGAGATACTCTGCTGCTGCTTGTGCAGCAGGATCAACTCCTTGGCCCCTTTCCGGCAGAGGATTAGTCCCATTCTTTTTGTGCCATAGCAGAATTCGTCGTCTAGCTACTTCACAAGCTTCCTCATTTGACATGACATCCCACAACCCGTCACTAGCTAAAACGAGGCATTCATCTTCTCTAGCACGTGGTACAAACATAACTTCTGGTTCGGGTATAATCCATGGTTTCAAGTATCTGTCGCCTGAGGGTAAAAAAGAGATACATAAATAGAGTTGACCGCCAAAATGATGAATACTTTTCAATTTTTCTCCTTTTCGTTTCAATAAGATGAATAATTTTCTTTTAGACATGTAAGCAATGCGGAATATGCATAGCATGATCTGTAAAAAAGCACGCAATAAGGTGGCAACCCATTCACAATCCGTGGGAACCAATAAAATTCCACTAACGAATCTTGTTAGATAGAAAGAGTAAACCTATTATCTAGAGAGATAGATAATCAGGAGCATAATTTGACTCAACAGGAAGATGTGGAAAAGGCTGCAGAACGACATAGCAGCTCGACATATGAGAGTCTATTAAACGAAGGTCAGGTGAAATTGAGCTCCACTTAGACCCAATCCAATATGTAAAGATTTAAGTTCTCTAGCACTAGAATTTCTCGATATTTTTTAGTGGCATAAAAATCTTTGACAGGAAGACTCCTTGGCAACATTGAACCTAAAATAACATGAGAAAGTGTAGAAAGCATCTTCTGTAACAGTAGCTGCCTTCTAACTTGGGCAATAATAGCTGAATCTCAGCATGTCATGCATAATCTGATGTACATTCCCTCAAGATCCCACGGGCTCTCTTTTTGATGGGAACAACCACGAAATTTCTATTAACTAAGTCATATTTCACCATACTACATTTACCAATGTTTTTTGGTGAATCTCATTTTTATCTTCAGTTCCTTATTTCTTTGCGTTTCTTATCTTTTATTGATTGTTTTCTAATAGTACTCCATCTTGCCTTCCAGAGAATTCAATTTGTCTAGTTCCTGAAAACTTTTAGTTAGACCTACAAATCCTTGATATTAGCTAAAGATAGGTCACAAAGGAGGAGAAAGATCATTTAGGTGATACCTACTAGTTAGGAATAGGTTTTAGACTTGGTAGAGAACTTTCAACATTATTATTATTATTATTATTATTATTATTTATATATACATATTTATCTTCTTTTTTTTACTTTCACGTTTACTTTATTCTGGCATGATGATGATATGAGCTGTGCTTACAGAAAGAAATGAGGAATCATATCGCCAACCCCAACTTATTTGGGAATGAGCCATAGTTTTTGCTGCTGAAAAGTTTTAGTTCATGTTTGACGGAACTAATAATCAACGATGCTACATCTCAATCTCTTTACAGATCAAATAGTAAGCGTTTCTCTGTAACAGGAACTCAATGCCATGCAGAACAGCTAAAATAGAGGATTAAATGTAGAGATAATCTCCAACAAAAACCAGATGAAGAGCTCAGTCAGCATACATAATTACCTAAAGTCAGAAGCCAAGGTTAAAGTCAGAAATGTAGTTTATTAATTCAAATACAAACTAGTCATCATTTGTCATAGTTATAGACTAACAGGACCATATGCGATCACTAAGAAGAAGCATTTTGGATTATGGTGAAGCAAATAGAATTCTCCAAAATTTAACGGACTGTGACGGAATCCAAAGAAAACAGGTGTCAAGAAAATCCATTGCACAGCACAGCATCAGTAGATAATACTCAACTTATGCAAGCTAAAAGGTTTAGTACACCAACCAATAGATCTTGACATTGCAAGGACGCCAAAAACACGATGTCCATTCCACTGAATGACCTTGCCACCAGATGCTTCAATTCTAGCATACTCATCTTCTCTGCTTGGCTGGTAAAAGAATACAAGGTAAAAGAGTGAGATGGTAATGGATCAACCACATTCTTTCCTGCCAGAATAAGACAAGCATGTATGTGAAAAAAAGAAAAAGAAAAGGGAGAAGGAGACAAAAAGTAATGCTAAATGTGTGATTTACTTTATGATCAATTGACAGTGCCATTGCTTCTTTGCCACGATAAAGGACTGCTCTTGAATCACCACAATTAGAAACTACAATATGAGATGAACATATCACCGCTACAACCGCAGTGGACCCCACAGTTTCCGGGGCAATAGGTTCAGAGGCGCAGCTAGTGGTATCTATGTTGTCTTCACCGGGATCACTGTTCACTTTCCCCCCAACTTCATCGTCAACCTTGAGAAAGCAACTAGTAAAGACCTTCTCCCATTGCACCTGACGTGTGTCCTTTGCACTCCCGTCCACCATATCATCTTTGAAATGTTTTAACTCCTCAACTAATGCTAAATGAATGCGTTTGCAGCAATAATCCGCAACCTGCATGACAAAACAGCAGTCAGTTATATTAAAATTAGTTCTCATTAAGTCGCCTTGATGAGGATTTAAACTGATGGTAGAACACATAACCAGGTAGTTCGACCTGGAGAACTAGGTTAAATTGACACATTTTGATCTTATTGAAATACCACACAGCTGAAATTATGGGATGAAGAAATGGCTGGTGCACTGTGTACAGGATAATTGTGAGGTCTGAAATAAATGATGTATGGAAAATTTGATTTATCTAAGGAGTATTTAATTGGCTAATCAATCAATATAAACACATAAAAGAAACACTATACCTGAGATCCTCCATGACCATCATATACACCATAAAAATGAGATGTCAGGTGACTCAGACGTTGACTTAGTCCGTCAATCACACGATCACCAATAAACATTTTGATAGGTATTTTGATGAAATTAGGAACAACCATAAGAGCATCCTCCATCTCTGGTCTCTTTCCACAGATAGATACAGAGCCCCAGAGTGGCACGCATTCCAATTCAAACACACTCTTGACACTTTCTTTGACAGGTTCGTTCTCACTGGGCAACGGAAGAGCCACTACAGATGCCTTTAGCATAGGGCCAGTAGTAATTTCATCATCTGGGATAGCAGCAACGGCGGACAGATTACTGATCTTTCTCCCAAGACTTCTTTCCTCCAAACTTATGACTTTGGCAAGTATTTGTCCATTGTCAATACCCTCGATTTCAACAGCAATTGGCAAACTTAACTCCGAGCTAGCGCCCAGTGGCAACAACTCCTCCCCATTAATTACATAAGGATCCTCTCCAATAGATAAAATCCCATCTTCTTCATTTCCCTGAATGATGCTATCGCTAACAATCGGGCCATTTTCAGCTCCCAATACAGTCTGCAATGGACCGCAAAAGGGAACTCTACCCACCTCAGCTTTCATACTGTTGCTATTTCCATCCCAACTGGTATTAGGCTCAACATGCAACAAAGATGGATGATCTGAAAGTAAGCTAGCTGTGTCAGTCACTAATTTGAGCCTTGTGATTTCCATGTTGTTCGAAATTGCAGGGTTATCACAGATAGAGGTGCTTAAGCTAAGTGTAACAGCAACAGCTGGAGACAACTCCTCCATTAATTCTTTCTAGAGGAAAACAATACGCAAAATCTACGAATGAATCTCCCCAAACTAGCTAGTCAACCACGTTAGCCCATGAAAGCGCGCGGTTCCACCAACAAATTTGCACCAAGCTTTATGTTTCGGAGAGTAGGACTGCTTTAAAGGGAAATTCACAAGCGCAATAAAATAGCTAAATTAAAAGCACAAGGAGATGAGCTACGAATCCACAAAAATGGGAAAAGACAGCTAAACTAAAAGCAAAAAAAAGATGAGCTAGGAATCCACAAAAATGGCGAAAGACGGCTAAATTAAAAGCACAAGTAGATGAGGTAGGAATCCAAAAAAAAGGGGGAAAGACAGCTAATTTACAAGTACAAGGAGATGAGCTAGGAATCCACAAAATGAGGAAAGACAGCTAAATTTAAAGCACAAGGAGATGAGCTAGGAATCCACAAAATGGGGAAAGATAAAACTGAATGGGCAAGAAGATCTCAGTCAACTGCACTCTACAAGAAATAAAGGGTACACTAAAAAAGACCAAATAATAAGTGGAACAAGCTCCAGATTAGTGAGACAAACAAGGGTATGAGGGAGATCTGCAGCTGTAAACAGATCCAAACTTTCTGTAAACTAGAACTATGCAATTCACTTTAGGAGAAAAAATCAAGAACAAGAGCAAATCCTATATCCACCACCACCAACCCTTTAAATACACAACAACATGGGGAAAACGACAAAATCAAAGCCTTATCCATAAATTCAAGAAAGGAAAGCAAAAGAATCATGGAAAAAGAACCTAGGAGAGGTGAAAAAACAGACACCTAATCAAGAATCACAAGAAAACCCTACAAAGATACAACCTTTTTTGCCACATGTAACTTGGGTTTCATGGATCTGAGGTAACTCATGTCCACCTCTCAAAATATGAGTCATTTACTAAATAAATTCTCTTCTCCCTCCAATCCACCAAAATAAAAAAGAATCTTTATGCAGCAGATTCTAAGGTGCAGTACAAATTATCTAACTTGCCTAATATAACATTAAAAAACTGCTAAATTTACTAAAAATTCAGCTCAAAACAGTGGAAAATTATGCTTACCAACAAGAATCCTTTTATCAAACAGCTTGCAGATTCTTAACTATGGCCAGTAAAGAAATGCTTCATTCTCAAGATTTTTATTTTTTAGAAGATGCACATGAGAGAGAAATTGAACAAAGGGATTCAAGAAAAGATGTTTACCACTTGGTGTACTCCAAAAGAGGACACGTGTAGATGCAATTATCTAACTCCAATCAATGCATCAGACAGACAATGCTTATGAATTGTTTTGTGTACATTTTTTTACATAAAAAAAAAAAAGGGAGTTCATGGACTTTCCATGAGAACACCACGTGTCCTTTCTTGGCAGGTCAGCCATTACCTAAATTATGTCTCCATTATTTTCTTTGTCAATTATCATGTGTTCCATTCTTTTCAAAGGGTTTACTACTTATGTACGTCTGTTGCTGCCTTTGCATATTGCATTTCCTTTTTATTGTTGAAATTAGGTATTTGGGGTTATATGTTGTTTTCAACTATGTTTCAGGTATTAAATTTGACATTAAATTCACTCCCTCTTTCTCTTTTCTTTTTTAAAACAAAAACAAGGTTTATTGTTTTTGCCTCTTTTTGTGCAAAATTATGACAACTATGCTCTTAAATCATTTACATAAAAGTGCACCAAAAAAATTGTTTGTCTAAATACATTGAAGGGCAATGGTTGAACTTGAAATGTGTGCTTCTTTTTTTTTTTTAATTTATATTTATTTTATAAGTGGTTGAACTTGGAAAGTTTGAAACTAAAAAGTCCCAAATCAAGTCTCATTTTATGATTCCTTGTTCATCTAAAAATGCATTGATGTGTCCTACTCATACCATTTTTTAGACTTTCTCAAAATTTATTCTTGAGTATTTCTGGATTTTTGTGCTTACTTATCGTTGCTTTCGTTTCGGCCTTCTGATTACAATATTCAATTTTAGTTTTATCTTTATATTTTTGCTTCGGTTTTCTAATTAGTGTGCTTATTGATGCCCTTACTTTTATCTTTCCTAAGCTAAGGGTCTTTCGGAAACAACCTCTCTGCCTTCTTGAAGGTAGGGGTAAGGTTTGCGTACATACTACCTTACCCAGACCCCACTTGTTGAATTACAATTGTTGTCAAAAATAATTCTTGAGAATTTATTTTAGTCAAGTATTATTAATTAGGAGTAACACATTTTCCAAGAGATAATAGAAGTTAAATTTAATTATATGGAATGCTTTGTTTCTCCATTAATAATACTTCAAGATAGATATAAGAGTACAAAAAGAATTTCGTAATTTACATAGAAGTACTTAAAGGATTGCATATAGGTGTTCGTAACACGCAGCGGAAGACAATAACAATCCTAGGCAGATTTTTTCGTGTTTAAAATTTATTTACATGTCAAAGATCGGATCTAAGACGTACCTGGTGAAGAGAGTCTCGTTTCAAAATTTCTTCGATAGTGCGAAGACTCTATGCGTATCCACACCGAGACCGATCCTTGCTATCAACTCTTTGATCAATGAAACCCGCGAACAAATTGAACGAAATATTGTGTTGAAATTTTTCTCAAAAATCTCAACTCAATGTTAGAAGAACAAGAAACACTTTTCTTGCAATTGTATTTTCTCTCTTGGCTTTGTATTGTATTCTCACTTTCACAAAGTGATTGTTCTTCTCAAGAATTAATTATGACAAATTTTCTCTATCACCTTTTATATAGCATCACCTATAAACGCTATTCCTATTTGGTTGAGGTAATAATTTACTTAGGGTAAAGTTTATTCCAAAAATAAACTTGCGGAACTTTTTTCCATTGGAAAACAGTATATCCCATTCCTTATGGAATAACGTGTGCCATCGTTAGCTTTATTGACGTTAATTGAATTGGATTATGAGACTTAGTTAACATTTTATAGTATTAAATAATATCACTCCCATTCTTAATGGGTTTAACTTAGCCTCATGTCCTTTTTGGACTTCTGTGTCAATCCAATGCAAATAGGATTTACTTATAATCCTTCGTTAATATTTATGTACATACCTTACATAAATAAATATTAATTATATATATATATATATATATCAATCAAGAGATATAATTTATTTTCTATTCCAAATAGAAACTTCAATTTGTTCACAATATTAATTATATCCTCTGTGCTAGCAAAGAGTATAATAATATTTCATTTGGACTAATAACTTTATTTATTTGACTAATTAAATTCTTTGATTCAATTATCAAATAATAAGTTCATTAATCCTTTAGCAAAGATCAGAACACTCGTTAGTTTGCGACCCCATAGGTTCAATACTAAGCCGGTAGTAAATTGATCACATCAATATACTAATCAAGGGTGGCGTCTAGCAACACTCCTTAACGACCGGATAGCATGAAGTATACAATCTACTCTCAAGAACCCGTAGAAGAATAATGTAGTAATTCCTTCTGTCCTTATAGCTCTGGATCACCCTAGGATATGGTTCAACTGTCAAATCCTAATAGGCGACCAACTATGTGTTCATGTCAAATATAATCGACCATTGAATGAGCTAAGAAACTCATTTCTTCTTTCATTCAATTGCCCTGGCCAAGGTCTTAGTTTGGTCGTTTATAATTCATGACAACATGGAGCTTAAACTCATTACCAAGAGTTGACAGATTCCATCTTGATCAATCACTAATTCTACAAGTATTTAATCGTACCCAATATCCTTTCAACTATCGCCCTAGGGCCATAGGTGTCTGGTATCAAAGCACAATAAATAACTTGTCAATTACTATGACGATCTCAAGTCAAAGGAAATTATTACATCACATTCTTCAAGAGAATATCCTATTGACAGTTTATGGTAATTCTAACCATTAGGAATTATCCAATGAGTCGGTTCAATGACCATATCTCTATATGCATCATCTATCTATGTAATTTAGTTAATGAGATCAACTAATCTTTATCCCATAAAGACGATCACATAAATGTTGATCTAACCGGATTACTAATGTCCAGATTAATAATCCTACGATCAAGAACAATTTCAGATTAAATTATAAGAGACTTTGCTCTCATTATCATGATCTCTATCACGATGACAAATCTCAAAATTTAATCAAGGACCTTATCAAATTAATCAAACAATTAATAATAACTATGATAAAAAGAATGCCATATATTTTTATATCAAATAATGTTCACAAAAATGTGTTCAAATCATCAAATATGATATTGGATCTAGGGCATATCTAGTATATCCCTAACAGTACTATAACCAATTATTATTGAAATATGTTTTTTCGGTTTTCTTTTGTTTCATACTGTTCCACAACAAATAATTCAAGATACGTCCAACCACAGACAAACCTAAAGCAGAACAAAAGTAAAACCAAGAAAATTATAAATAAACAAAAACGAAGGAGAAAGAGACAACTAAGAACCATAACGTTGCAAGAGTGGTGAAGTCAAGATATGTACGTAATAGACTTTTCTTTTTTCTATATTCTGAAAATTTTTCTTTTTCTAAAAAAAAAAAAAAGGCTAACGTATAATAATTGAATTGATGGCTCAATAAGATTGGGGAAGGAAATAGATCAACTTTAGAATTAAAGAAAAAATAATAAAAACGTTATAAACATAACACGTCAAACATTACAATCAAAGAGCAGAAAGAAATGAATTATATAAAGTAATAATGGCTATTTTTGACAATCCAATGAAAATGGGACAAGGGAGCAATGAGTAGGTTTTACTTTGCTTGGCTTAATAAAGAAAGGTTTTGGATTAAAGATGGTAGGTCAATAACCAAGTTTGGTGGCTATGTCACACAGGGGTAGCATTTTGCCTTTACTTCTGCTTTCACCATTTGTCCATTTTATAGATGAGGATCACCGCACCATTTGTGTATTTGGTGTCTTGATCAAATAAACTTTTAATATTTGATTATTTCAAATTATGAAAGTACACCATAGTACTCCCTCCGTTTTAATTTATGTGATACTTTTTTTACTTTTTCTTAGTCCCAAAAGAATAATATATTTTTATATTTAGTAATAATTGAATTTTAAAATAATTACTTTACCCTTAATGAGATGATTTATAAACACATTTCAGACCATAAATTTTTAAAAATTTCTTTTTTTAATTGAACTCCGTGCACACTCAAACATAACATTTTCTCGCTGGAAAGGACAAAGTGATTTCCATTACTCGTGAAAGAATGAAATTTTCCCTTATAAATATGCATATTTATAAATCATGTCATTTATCTATGTCGACATTTATTTCGTATAGTATTATGAATCATTGATTGTTTGGAACTAAAATGTAATTGTCATTGTCATTATATTTGTGGTTTGAATTGATTCCTTGTATTTTTAAGAAACCCATAGTCCCTATAGGTTTAGGAAAACTCATTGTCCTAATAGATTTGGGAAAGAAAAACCTATAGTCCTTGTCAAATTGGGAAACATTTCTCTTATATGTTTAGGACCTTTTGGGATCTATATATAGGGGTTGTAGTTGGGGATTCTAAAGATTGTACTGTACTTTTCTTCTCATTCATAGTAAAAAACTCTCTCTGCTTTTGCCCCGAGGATTAGGCTAGCCGAACCTCGTTAAATCCTTGTGTTGATTTTTCTTCTCTATTTGCTTTGCGTGTGATTGTGTGCTAGTTAACCCACCATATTCCGCAACAATTGGTATCAAAACAAGGTTCGGGTTTCTACATATAATCTAGGGTTAAGATGTCTTCATCATCTTCAACAAAGTACGAAATAGAGAAATTTGACGGAGGTTCTAGTTTCAGTCAACGGAAGATTAGGATGAAATCATCCCTGGTGTTACAAGGGTTATGGAAGGCAATTGATGAGGATTTTCCTGAAGAGATGAAGGAGACAGAAAAGGCAGACCAGAAGGAGAGGGCTTTGAGTGCGATCTTCATGAGCATTACAGATAGCGTTCTTCGGAAAATTGCTGAAGAAACTTCTGCAGCAACGGCATGGAAGAAGCTGG